TCGACAATTTTGCAATCGCATCATTTAATTTATCTACTACCGTATAAACCTTTTCCATCTCCTTACTCACGCTCTTTTCAACCAGCGCCTGTAGATTTGCCTGAGCATGGTTAAAACTATCTTGTACCAAACTTCTGACAAGTTGCTCAACTTCTTTTGGTTGCATTTGCACAGTGGGTTGAGGCATGTTAGAAGGCATTTTAGCTGCAGCACTAGTGCTAGGATTAGGTTTATTAATTGAACTTGATAAATCCCGAACAGTTGGGTTGACATTAGCATTTTGCATTTTTTCTTAGTTTTCGGTTTTGGTGATGCAATTGAAGTTCTGCTAAGGTCAAACGCTAACGATCTATTTCTTTTTCTGCGTTTTTTCCCTACCGTAGCTGCGTTCATTGATATAAATATATATGAAAAGATGGAAATACTTGTATGGTTGGCTGCAAAGATTATATGGAATTAACTAAGGATAAATATGAACTTCAAACTAATTAATTTTAAAAGACAATAAAAGGGATTAATGAATTACACACAGTTACAAAAATAGTAGAATAAAACAAAACGTTTATAAATCAATAGGTTAAAAAACAACAAAACAAAACACATAAAAACCAATAGGTATACATAAAAACAACACATATATATATATATATATCAATAGGTTAACAAAACAAACAAAATTTAATTTTTCAAAGACAATGACAAATATGAGAGGAGTTTAGGAGTATTTTCAGCTGTAATAAGGTGTGTGTGTATGGTATATGCTTTTCAAACAAAAAAAAACATGATTTTATTTTGTAGTGGCCTATTACGGTTGTCATAGGGTATTGACTAGATTCGACTTTACAATTACAAACATTGAACTTTCCATTTAAAAATTAGCACCGTGGCAGTTTTCTACAACATTTTAAGAAAAGAGCATAACATTTGTGCAATACAGTCTGTGGTCCATCAACTAGCAGATACTGTAATTATCCTATGCTAACTTTTAACTATTGTCGTTACTCTAAAAAAATATAAAACACATATGCGTCAAAACACAGGTCATAAAACAATAAAAATTTTGTTACACTTCACGAACAAAAGTTATTGCACTAGACCCTAATCATTGGAACAGGATATCCTAATTTCTTACTTTCTTTGCTAAATATTGCACAATTGACTCTTTTTAAATATTGCACAATTGACACTTAGAAAGTGGTTCCAGTATTCGCAAGCAGGTAAAAAATGCGAAATTTTGCTTAAATCTATTGTCTCCTATGGTATATTCACACTGTAATTTTTTCACAAAAGTTCACAAAAAGAAATTATAATTATATTAATTTTGGGAATGGGGATTCACAATTGTCATGCGAACAAATATTCACAATTTCTACGCGATAAGGGTGATTGCATAGTGCGTAGATTTTATTGCACTTATTATTGGCTAATGTCTGGAAGACATTAATGTTTTATTTTGGAAACTTGGGCGCCCTATTGTTACATTCTGCCTACGCGGCGTTATGGTGGGGTTCCGCACTTGCTCAGGAGGGAGCGGTTATCCAGGGGGTTCTCAACCCTGCCACCATCAACCCTAGGGAATGAACACTTAAAGAATTGAACCGGAATAAACATAAACAAAGAAAAACTGAAAACAAACATACAAAACATACACCTATGACAAAGGAGCTTGATATTATTGCTCCCCCACTATGCCCACCCATACTTGGCCCTTTAGTCCAAATACACTCAAAAAAAAAATTAAAAGGGCCCCAAAAAGCCACGCACACTCACTTGCTTACAACGCCTAACCTCCTCTCTCACAAACAAAATTTAGCACGACATATTCTTGAAACAATTAGACATTAAACATATTTACTAGAATCATTATTGTTCTCTTAAAACTAATTTCAACATGAACACATAAAAAACTGGACTATTAATACCCGAACGAAAAATTTGTGTCAATACTCAGATTACCTCTTTTATTACACTGCTAGAAGCGGCAAATTTTGGCCAATACAACTACACTAAATTTCTGCCTAAAGGAGCTCGCTTAGACGAATGTTTTGGGCATTCTAAATTCTTGTCCCAAAAAAAAAAAAAAAAAAATATAGAAATGGTCTAGCTGTAAATTTTGAGGGCAACCCTACACTCACTAAGGAAAATTTCCCTGGGCATTAATTATCCTCACAATGACACCTTAAGCACTATTGATCTAACTACAAACAATACATTTAACTTATATACTAAACTACACAATAACAAACAAATACTTTTCTTATAGTTTTTTTTTTCTTTTGATCGGATTCGGATAGACATTAATTGACGAATTTCATATTTTTTTCTATTTCAGTGGTGCTTCCGTCAAAGGAAAATGAACTTCATATGACTCTTTTAGCGGGATTTGGCTTTCTTTTTTTTATTTGGTAAGTAACTTACATTTTGAATTATATTACCTTCACAACGCCATACTTATTCAACTTTTATCTTCTTTTTACATATTTTTAGGTGGGATCTACTGGTTATCTTTCCAGATTGGTACTGTTGTCTGTTCCAAGGGTTACCCACTGGCAGTTTCCCAGGTGTTTTGGAAGTTCCCAGGACCTTTTCTTTGCCTGGAACCTCTGTGCCGCACCTGGCGATACAAAAATAATTGTTGGGGATGCCCGCTCTTTTCTCGTCTGAGTCGGATGGCGTTGTCCAATTGTGGATTTATTCACGGCGTTATTCCTAAATAAAACACACAAACTTACCACAACACATCCGACATAACACCAATTACAAATTGTTTAGATACGCCACACAAAGAAAATAATAAAACAACGAATAATAACTGCCAACTCAGTACTTCCTTTTTTATTCACAAAAAAACATTTAAAAATTGACTGAACTGTTTTTTCTGTTCCACACCACATTGAAATAATGGCGCTTTTAGCCCTCTCTGTGCTTTATATACGGTCACCAAGGACGCTCAACCAAACTTCCCTCTTTTCCAAGATTTTCCCACAAATTCCCTGACATTTATTATTTACCTTTATCAGGTGTTCTACCTACCCACTATTATCCCCAGTCTTGTATTTTTGCCACACGTCTCTCATGTTGTACAATAAGCAACATGAAACTTGGCATCACTTTTTAAAATTTAGCCGGCCGCCCTGAGTATCCGGTTCTATTTTTGGCTGGCGTTCAGCACGTTCGGTGCATTAAATTGCACATTATAAAAAAATTTATAATGGGGAAAAACGCAACACATTTTATCGCATTTCTGCTAATTTCCCGTTCCCTTATTTATTGAGCACACCTAAATGAGAATGACATTTCGAACTGTTCTCTCTTCTGCTACTTTTACTACTAAAAATTACTGGAACACAACTCTATATAGGCCAGTTCTTATATCTTTCCTTTATAGCCCACTTTTGCTATCCATTACTTTAGGAAAAGTGAAGTATAAAGTTCACATTATCGGGTTCTCATTATTACAGAGAGATATGGCAAACTTTTTTAAAAGTACTGGTATTCACTGCAATTTTTTCATAATGGCATCTTCATTTTAGTTTAAAAATAATACACAAAATGCGAATTTGTAATTAATTTCGTGAAATAAATTTATAATTCAGTTCTTCAATATAAAATAAACGATTTGCGTTATCCATTTTTTATTTAAATAAATTTTGCTGGCAACATGAAATCAGTAAACTTTTTTTTTTGGAATCGGTTATTGATTACGCCGTCACGACGAGGTTGGTACGACATGCGTGAAGTTAGCAACGTTGCTAACTATCGATAACATCGAATTTCACCAAAACTACAGGGTGTCTCAGAACATGGAAATTTTACATTTAATACTTTTTTTTTCAACTGTGCGTCAGAGAAAAAAACTGGAACCGATTTGAAAACTTAATTAATTAATAAAATTATGAATGAAAAAGTCCATGAAATAAACAAATGTTGTTTGATAATGAATTCGCATACCCCAGTTTTTAATTCCATATATAATATCGCAAATTAGTTTATGATACAACAATATTTTCAAATTCTGATATTCCACTGGTGGTGGTCCAAAAAACTGTGAATTCCAAATGAAAGTGTCCTTATGAGTATTTTGGCATATAAAATGTTTTCCAAGTCAGTTTTTGGTAAAACAAATTTTCCAATTTTCTGATATTCCACTGGTGGTCAGGACGGGAATCAGGCTCTGGAAGCCTCCATATAAAAACATCAAAAAAAATAGCTATTGTGATTCGAACTAAATGCAAGATTTAATTGAAAAATGTTTAATAAATTTTCTAACAAAAACTTCGTTTAAGTTAGTTGTTGACAAGGGTCAGCATGCATGGTGGTAAGTTGAGTATCGGATGTAAGAATTTTATCAATGGCAGCGGACAGAGTTGTAAGACCTAGAATGCAGCGAGGCTGACCAACCAGTTGAAATTTGTAAAAATTGTTGAAAAATACACAACATAACAAACTCCGATTTGCATCGTATAAGAACACATATAAAGATCTACTCATTTTTGACCAAATATTTTAAATTTTTTGACATATCAATATTCCCAAGCGTTGCTGCATCTACCTGTATTCTTCTACCATGGGTTAACCCGCCGAATCTATGAATCAATAATAGTCTAAACCATGGTAGAAGAATATAGGTAGGTCAAACCAAATTTGGAATTGAAAATGTTGAATGAAAAATTATTTAACTTTATAATTTTTTTTTTGAAAAACGTGTACTATAATGTCCTCCGATTGACATCGTATAAGAAAACATATAGAAATCTACTTATATTTGAAAAAAATTTAAATTTTTCGACATATCAATGCATCTACCTGTATTTTTCTACCATGGTCTATACGTACTATTCATTGTACAATCGTGTGTTATAACTCCAAAGGTTGGTAGAAGAATATAGGTAGACGCGTCGACACAGCTGCTGCTACAGTGAACTGTCTAACCAAGTTTGAAATTCAATATGTTGAATGAAAAATTATTTAAATTTATAAAAATTGTTGAAAAACGCAAATTATAATAACCTCCGAATGACGTCGTATAAGAAAAAATATAAAAATCTGATTATATAAAAAATATTTAAGATTGTTTCACATATCAATGTTTCCAAGCATTGATGCATCTACCTGAATTCTTCTACGATGCTCCAAAGATATCTGTCAATATTAGACGGCGACAATCGCATAAAACCAACTCTGCCTTGTCTGCTCTGTTTACGCCTTTTGTTATAGATCGAAAACAGATATCTGATATAAATTATTAAGTGAATTACAATACGTTTATATATATGAGGGTTAACCCACTGGGTTTGGATTTAAATTGTCATATCCATTATTTTTATTTCAAATAAATCCTCTCAAAGTAGGTTAACCCTACAAAAAGTTCCAACGTAAACATGGCATAAGTCAATGTTTGTATAAGATTAGATTTGTGTAGAATATTTAAATAAAACCGGATTCTTTAAACTGCAATATCAGTCTCATTGCATAGTCGGCATATATTGCATTTTGTGCAAATTGCCTTCCTGTCATCTTCCTTTAAAATTTGCAATTGATTTAAAACATCAACAAGCCACAAGGAAAAGCATGGTTAAAACATAATAATAAATATTTGCGCGATTTTGACTTAACTCTTGTTTATTAGCATAAATTGTAGCATTTTGGAAAGGTAAGAGTGTCAGCAATAATTTGACGCCAATTTGGTTGACCCCCATAATGTGCCTTTTTTCGACTTTTTAGTTCTTTTATAAAAAATCCGTGTCAAAAAAAGTCAATAATTTGACTGTTGGAGCTATTTTTCTTATATTTTAGATTACGAATTCTGTCATCAGTTTACAAATGTAATGGTTGGTCAGCCTCGCTGCATTCTAGGTCTTACAACACTGTCCGCTGCCATTGATAAAATTCTCACATCCGATACCCGACTTACCACCATACATGCTGACCTTTGTCAACAACTAAATTAAAACGAAGTGTTTGTTAGAAAATGTATTAAATATTTTTCATTTAAAACTTACATTTAGTTCGAATCACAATATTTTTTTTTTTTTTGATGTTTTTATATGGAGGCTTCCAGAGGAGGATTTCTGCCCTGACCACCAGTGGAATATCAGAAAATTGGAAAATTTGTTTTACCAAAATCTGACTTGGAGAACATTTTATTTGCCAAAATACTCGTAAGGGCTTCCACTTTCATTTGGCATTCACAGTTTTTTGGACGTTTTTATATGGAGGCTTCCAGAGACTGATTCCCGTCCTGACCACCAGTGGAATATCAGAAAATTGGAAAATTTGTTCTACCAAAAACAGACTTGGAGAACATTTTATATGTCAAAATACTCGTAAGGGCTTCCACTTTCATTTGGCATTCACAATTTTTTGGACGTTTTTATATGGAGGCTTCCAGAGCCAGATGCCCGTCCTGACCACCAGCTGAATATCAGGAAATTGGAAAATTTGTTCTACCAAAAACTGACTTGGAGAACAATTTATATGCCAAAATACTCGTAAGGGCTTTCACTTTTATTTTGGCATTCACAGTTTTTTAGACGTTTTTATATGGAGATTTTCAGAGCCTGATTCCCGTCCTCACCACCAGTGGAATATCATCTCAAATATCTCAAAAATCTTGTTGTATCATAAACTGATTTGCGATATTATATATGGAATTAATAACTGGGGTATGAGGATTCATCATCGAACAACATTTGTATATATCAGGGACATTTCCATTCATAACTTTATAAATAAATTTTGTTTTCAAATTGGTTCCAGGTTTTTTCTCTGACGCACAGTTGAAAAAAAGTATTAAATGTGAAATTTCGATGTTCTGAGACACCCTGTAGTTTTGGTGAAATTCGATGTTATCGATAGTTAGCAACGTTGTTAACTTCACGCAGGTTGACGAAAAACGATTTATGTGTCCAACCATGGCCCAATTATAAGGTCTTCGAGCGAATTAATCTAAAAACAGCTGTTATTTTACCCGATGAAATGACAAAATTCATGCTTGAGGCGAAAATAAATAGAAGAATTTTGTGGCGAATATGTTTGTTGTCATTTTTTGTATGTATAACACATGGTAGAAAAATACAGGTAGACGCATCGACGCAGCTGCTGGGACAATGAACCGTCAAACCGAATTTGAAATTATAAATGTTAAACAAAAAATTGTTGATATTTGTAAAAATTGCATATCATAACAACCTCCAATTTGCGTCGTATTAGAAAACGTATAAAAATCTACTTGTTTTTGACAAAACATTTTAACAATTTTGACATATCAATGTTCCCAAGCATTGCAATAATTTTTGAATAATTTTTCATTTTAAATTGTTAACTTAAAAATTGGTTTGACAGTTCATTGCCCCAGCAGCTATGCAATGCGACTACCTGTATTCTTCTACCATCTTTTGAAGATAGTTTTTGTTGCAGCGAATTCAAATTTAATTGACAGATCGTCTGGTAATCAGCTGAGCTGGAAGGGGGACCTTATACTTGGATCTTGTGTCCAACAACATCACTTTTTTATATATCGGTAAGATGTAATAACCGGCCATGGGCTTTCTTCCCATTTTTGCAAAAGTGGCAAAAATAGTAACATTATGTCCCTTCGATTACTTTCCCAGCAACACTTACTCAGTTAATTTTAAGAGGAATTTTTTAAGTACAAGCGTGTTAGAAGAATATAGGTAGTCGCGTCGACACAGCTGCTGGGACAATGAACTGTCAAACCAATTTTGGAATTGAAAATGTTGTATAATTATTTAAATTTGTAAAAATTGTTAAAAAACGCGAATTATAATAGCCTCCGAATGACGTAGTATAAGAAAACATATAGAAATCTACTTATATTTGAAAAAAACATTTAATTTTTTTTTGACATATCAATGCTCCCAAGCGTTGATGCATCTACATGTATTCTTCTGCCATGAGTACAAGTAATGGATAAGACTATTTTAATCCAAATCCATTGGGTTAACGCATGGCACAATTACAGAAGGTAGAACAAAGCTTCCCCCTAAATACATTTCTAATTTATTTCTAATTTAGAGGCAAGAGAAATTAATATTTTCCACGTTAATGGGATAATATTCCATTCAAGTTTTGTGGGTTTTCGGCAACATAAACATTTTGTGAAAAAATGTTATATAAATAAAACCAATTGTTGAATATCTAAAAATTGACCGTACTGTAAGAAGTTACTGAGACAAAATGCGGGTTCTTCTCTCTCGAGTGTAAAAATTACAAAAAGTAACAATTGTGAGATAACAGCTAATCCATCAGCAAATATTAACATCATAAATGTTTTGATGCACTTTATTTGTTTTTAACGTCTTCTCAACTTCTTCTTAATTACCCCTAATTCTGGACTTGATATTTATATAAACCATGCCAATTTAATTGCTAAAGTTTCTTACTTACAGACAATTCTTCATTAATTTGTATGGGAGATTTTAACCTTCCTGGTGTTTCTTGGATCTCAGGTGAGAATATTCTACACTATTTTCCCTCATCACACACAATTGGTTTTGATGCATTTTGAGACATTATATTTGAACACTGCTTTATAAAGTGAATCACATTTGTGTATTGATAGGAGTTTTACTGAAAGCTGTTCGTTTACCTAAAAGTCCAATAATTGATAGGAAAGTGAGTAGAAATTTCGACATTTTTACTGGGAAAAAATCCCCAGTGAGAATTATCCAGTAACATAAGCTGTACAATAATCAGTTGTTTTGTAAACAAACAAAAAATGTTAACCAATCTATTTTTTTTTTTAAGAAAAAAAGTTATTAAACTTATTAACGAAATTGGATTTCTATATCCATGGATTCTATATCGCGGATAAAGATGAAAAATAAACAAATTAGGCGCGGATGAAGAGCTAATTTGTTTATATAGGTGTCAAATACAGCTAAAAATTCTCCATATGGGGAACACCATTCACCATGCTGATGCAGGAATAATATGTATTTTTTTGTCGAACGTTCCCACGCCTCACATTCTTACCCCTGTCGACCGATGGGTGACCTCCCTTAACGTGGGAATTTAGTAGAACATTAAAAACCAGCTACAGCTTCTAATTCACAAGCTAGTTTGTCAAATAATAAAAACATGTATTTTAATTGTTGAAAGATAAAATTATTCTAGATTTAATTACTTCTTAACTCATACCAAAATCTACATTGCAGTACACAGAATTAAAGTCAACACATCTTTTTCTAGGAAGTTCGCCATAGAATAATTCGTGAGGTGAAAATCGGTATATAATAATCGGTAGTATCTACTAGATCTAAACGGAACATTAATTCTAATAGATGAGATTGGGAAATCTGATGGTATATTACTATTTAATAATTTTAGTACAAACATGGAGTTCAACATAATATGTCTGCTTTTAAGTGTAGGCAATATAATTAATTTTAGCCTGCTAGCATAAGAAGGCTACAAAATTACTGCTCCAATGTTAACCTCGTGAGGCAAATAGCAGAAATTGTTTTTGCACGGATTGTATTTTATCTGAGTATATTGCATATTGAGGATCCCATACAACAGAACCATATTCTAATATAAGTCTAACCATGGTACAGTAAAAAGGTAAATTGTAGCTGGCAGCTGATTAAAATTTTTTCTGAGTGTGCCCGACTTCTGCCAATTTTGCGTAAGTATTTATTGTTTTGTAAAATGAAAACAAAATATTTTCAAAACCAATGTTTGGAGGACACATACATTGCGGTTGGCGCATTTAAGCTTTTCACCAGTTTAGCCATGATATTGGAAGGTTGAACAGTTTGGACCATATTTTTGAGAGAAAATCCAGGCTTTTTGCGCTATTTAACCCATTTTAAAAGTGAGGTAAAATTTGAAAAAATAAAAAAATGAAAACTACTTGTTGTATGTAATTTTGAATGAGTCTGACAGTAAGCGTCAGGACTGTATTTATGTAATTTTATGAAGCTGTTCTATCTCCTTATTGTACCCTGGGGCTATTGTAAATAACTGTTTTGTTGTATATGGATACGAAAATTTTTTGGCCCACCGTTTAACAAAACCTTTATTTACCATTGCTATTAAAATTTAATTTTGCATTCGCCGAGAGGTCAAATTCGACAAATGAATCTGCAGTTGATAATGATAATAATAATAAAGAAGATCTGGAGAAGCACATATGCTTAGATTTGCTTAAATTTAAATCCATACAATTTTACCTGTACCATAGAAAAAGGCTATCTAAATCGTTTTGAAGTAAATTAGCTTGTTTATCGCAATTATGGGAAATTAATAATTTAACAATTTCGAGTAATTTATGGAAAGAGATAAACCGTTGATAAATAAAAGAAAGAGGACCGGTCCAAGGTGACTTCCGTGATCTATCTTGTAAGTAAGATGATATCCACTTGACTAAAGTTTGTGCTGAAACCCAAATAATTTAATTTATATATTAGGAGTAAAAGTAACTAAGTCTTTTTCGTCAAAGGCGTAATATTTGAATAAATGGTATGGAAGGCTATACACAATCTGCAGGAACCAGTCATGAAAATTGAGAAGCTTTGCAATGTGAGCTTAGCCCTGTGATGAAAGTCTCTGATGAAAGTCAGCGTATGTTGGTCGACCTCCATTCTCCTGCTCCTTGGCACCTTGATAAAGAAGTCAATGTTGCTTACTAATTTTACAAACATAACATACATATGTCATTTTTGTCTGTTATTTTCAGTAGTCGTTTTTAGATTGTATTTTTTTGCAATTACTGCTTTTATTGTGTGTGTTTTGTAAATTTCGTATGTGTTTATGGTAGGACATCAATGACTTATGTATGTTTCATTTAATATGTCATAAATTGCTTTTTCAAGATACACCTAAGTCTGTTTTTACACGGTCTTTTTGTACACGGTTTTGATATGACACGTTTTGAAAATTGAATATTTTTAATTTATGTACACGATTTTCTTCCATTTAGCACGATTTGAAATTTTATGTACTTAATTTTTTGTCAAATTTAATTTTTGCGAAGTATGTTCATATCACAAAAAAGTCTTTATGAAAGAAAAAAGTCTGAAACCATCGATAGTTTGCGAACACTAGCTTAAAGATTTAAGTGAATTCCCCTTTAGCGCGTACAAACAATTTTTACTGGTCAAACCAAATGTGAATAGCACTATGTGCATACAATAAAATTTACTGGTCAGAGCAATTGAAACGTATTAATATTTTGTGAACTGTTAAGGCAATAAGACGTTTTTGGTAAAGAAAAAAATAAAAATTCTTGTTTTTCACTAATTTTAATAGGTTTTAGAGATTAGGAACAAATCACCCATTTTTGTATAAGATCAATGTCTTTTTTACACGGTTTTTTTTTTACACGGCTTCTTCTGGAACCAATCTACCGTGTAAAAACAGACTTAGGTGTACTTATTTTTTGCGACTTTATGTTTTCTAATGGTCTCTAGTAATTTAGGAAAAATTGTTCATGATAATGTTTTGCTACGTTCATCTTTGAGTGCACTGAGTGACAATTTGAATGTTGGCCATTTTCATTGCCGAAGTTTAATCTTACTCAAGATATGCTAGGATGTCTAAAGTTAGAAATATTTGCGAAAAGCCGTCGGTTCCCTCACAAAGGGTGGAGTTATAGGGCTATACATTTTGTCGAAGTGATCGCCTTATTCAGGGAGGTGGTGGTGTCTTTATCTATTTCGGGAGCAATTAGGTGTAAAGTTGTGTTTAAAAACAGTCCATATGGCATTCCTGCACTCAATAAAAGCAGTAATTGCAAAAAAAAAATATATATATATTGCTGCTGGGTAGACGGAAGATACTTGTTGGTGTAATGCTATTGAGCGTGATAATAATTGTTGGTGTAGTGCTATTAAGCGTGATAATAATGATCTGGTGGTTTGTTATTTTGATGTGTGACTTCAATAATGATATCTTCTGGTTTGATTCGTCGGTGAAGGTAAAGGATTCGTGCAGTAGAATTGGTGTTTATCAATATAAATACAGGTAGATATACACAACAATTTAATTATTTAATCTTGGTATGCTTACAAAATCTCGCAACCTACAAAGAATATTTATTTTTACTTGCTATTTATACTTTTTCGATTTCATTAATACTAGCATTAAATGTAAAGTAAGCAATAAATTAATTTAGACAATAACCCATGCAACGTGAAATCAATCGAGGTGTTTCTTTATTTAGGTTATTGACCTGCATAAAGCAAACAATAATTATATAGGTCAGTTATATGCTAACATAGAATAAAATTATAAATAATAACAAGAGTAAAAAATGTATATGTCAAATATGTTCTTATGATTCTTCCCCACGTTGAACGGGGAATGTTTAAGAAACTGTCGGGTCATGACGTATGTTGATGATACTGACTGTCGTGATGTAGGTGTTGGTTGATGTTTTTCTAAGTTTTGCAGTTGCGAAACTTGACTGTGACGTATATGACTACTCCAATTCCAACACAAAGAGGTTAATTGCTGATAGTATGATGGTGGACGGCTGTCGATTTTATTAGTCGTGGAAGGCTTCCGATTTTAATTGTTTTTAGCAGCTGGTGTAAGGTAACGAGCTCAGCAGCGTTTGTTTTATAGGGGCTGTTTAATGTTTGTTACTGGACGAGATTATGGAATCCAGTGGCTTAACTCTCAGACATGACGTGTGCATTATTGTTTTATTTTCGTAATGACCGTATATTGTAAAGGTGTTGTCCTTTAAGATACAATCTGACCTAATTTCTAAATTTCCAGACCCTTGCACTTCCAGGTGTGTCATTTTGTACCACAAACAAAGGACAATTCTAAATTGGCTAGAGTAAACATTCGTTGATTCTTTTGTGCCATTTGTCTCCAAATTTAGTGATGGATGGTGGACTCTAAGTCACAAGCTTCTGCCGTCGAACTCGTCTCGATGGGCGTTGGCTGCCAGTATAGTTTATTTCGATGATATTGAAATAAATCGACCGCATGGCAGCATGGGAATTGAAATTATGTTGAATAAATCATACTGCTGAAGATCCACTAATGGAAGGCGAATCTCAAATATGTTATATATATTTTTTTTTATAATCCTTCCCATACTCCTTATTAATTTGAAGAAATTCGTCACGTTATCCTTGCGAATGGGTAGAGTACAAGATGGCGGAGTAGTTTGATGGTTTGGAGCTCGATCAATTGATGTGGTGTAAGTAGTAATGGACTTATACGATCATGATGAGCATCCGTTAAAACATCGATGATTATATCTTCTATATATTTGATGAGAGCAACATGAGCTGCGAAGTGAGGAAAATAATTGATTGTGTAGCCTTTGCAATATTTTCCCCCTTCTTCACCTTATTTGCCAGCAAGTTCATTTCTACTTGCATGTTCATTTCTACTTGCATGGTCTCTAGTAAATTAGGAAAAATTGTTCAAGATAATGTTTTGCTACGTTCATCTTTGAGTGCACTAAATTATAATTGAATGTTGGCCATTTTAATTGTCAAAGTTCAATCTTACTTCAAGATCTACGAGTATGTCTGAAGTTTGAAATATTTGCGAAAATAGTCTTCTACACGTAATAGGGCAAGCGAAACATGGCTGAAGCCGTCGGTTCCCTCACAAAGGGTGGAGTTATCGGGCTATAAATGTTGTCGAAATAATCGTCCTATTCAGGGAGGTATTTATTTCGAAGGCAATTAGCTATAAAGTTGTGTTTTTAAAGCAGTCAGTATGGGATTCCTGAAAGTTTATGTGTATAATTGTTGCTTGGTAGACGAAGATAATTATTGGTGTGGTGATATTGATCGCGATATTAATGATCAGGTGGTTCTGTATTTTGATGTCATTATTATGTGCGACTTCAATAACGATCTCTTCTGGTTTGATTCTTCAGTGAAGGTAAGGTAGACTTGGTGTTTATTAATATAAACAAAGGTAGATATACAAAACACTTGAATTATGTTATCTTGGTATGCTTACAATTTCTTGCAATATTCAAATAATATTTATTTTGCTTGCTATTTATACATTTTCGATTTCATTAAAACTATCATTAAATGTAAAGAAAGCAATAAATTAGATTTCTTCTTAAATTCAAGATCAGTTCAATTCTCTCCATTCTTTGAGAAAGGTTCCGGCCAGAGAGATTCATTACCGTGTAGAAATGTGGGTCCATAAAACCACATCGTATATCCAGACAGCTGATCCGGTTTCATGCCCCTGGATATGAAATCTGCTGGATTATCCTTTGTCACACATGTCGCCAATGAGTGCTTAGCGATCTGCATTGTATATTTTTAACTTTGTTGGCAACGAACGTTTTCAGTGTTGTAATCTCTGAATCTGACCAATAAATAGTCCTAAGATTTTTCATAACCCAATTCGGCCTTGACTTTAGCAGTAAGTTTTGCTCCCAATTCAGCCAAACAAAGCTCTAACCGAGTTAAAGTGATCTCTTTTATTATTTCTATTTTCGATTTTGAACAAAGGAGTCTGACTATATGCCTTCCATCTCCCTATGCCTTTTCTGTGGCATCCACAAATGTATGTATCTCAATTTTTTATGGTTTCTATACTTTGAAATCATTTAATACTTTCAGGCTTTCTCGGAGCGATAACCAATATGCTGCCTTTTCTGGTGGCAGTTCCTCGTCCCAGCCAATTTTATTTTTCCACAGCTGCTGAATAAAGACCTTCGCTGCTGACACCACAGGGCCTACAATTCCTAAGGAGTCGAAGAATCTTGCCGAATCAGATGTGACCTTCCGCTTGGTGATGATAGTACATTCATTCACATCACTCCTCAAACAAAATTGGTCTGCTCGGGGAATCCAGAGAGATCTACTTCTCTATCTTCTGGAGGAACACCATGAAGCAGTTTTAAGCGGTTAGCACACCATTTTCGTAGTCTAAATCCTGCTTCCAATAGTAATGTATTAAGCTGTTTTTGCATCTCAATTGCCATTGCTAAACTGTCTGACCGGCACATGCAATAGTCAACATAAAAATTATTTTAAAGTACCAGCGCCCCCAATGGGTATTTTTGTATGATTGTATTTACTAGGTTTTTCAGACATCTCGTAGCAAGATATGGGGCGCACGTCGTACCACATGTTAACGTATTAAACATGTAACGTTTGTGTTCCTTGTCTGGGGTGTTTCTCCATAGGATTAGCTGATATTTGCGATTCCTTTTGTCGACTAGGATTTGCCTATACATCCTCTCAATGTAGTTGTGAACACAAATCTCTGTGGTCTGAATCGCAACAACATTACAAATAGATCTCCTTGAACCCTATGACCTGATTGCAAAATATAATAAGTGACCAACCAGATGATGACTTGCAAGCCGTATCGAACACAACCCTGAGCTTAGTTGTGCTGCTATTTGGGCGTAGAACACAATGGTGTGAGATGTAGTAATGGTTTCCACGCACCTTTCTTGAATGTATTTTCGTCATGTGCCCCAGATCCTCATAATTCTTCATACATGTAGCATACTGCTCGCGAAGACTTTTATCCGTAGTAAGCGACGCTTCAACGCATTGAACGCAAATTTAAGGTTTCGGATATCTTCTTAGAAACAACTGAAAACGGTAATCGCACCACAAAACGACCATTCTCATTGAATGTTGTACTTTGGTTGAAGTGGTTTTCACATTGTCCTTCAGCTATTGTCAACTTTTGATCTTCACAAACTTAGTCTTGTTCCCTTGTCGCAGCTCCTGATTCTGCCTGAATTTTTCCACTAGCAATCCACTCTAGCTTCGATTTCTTCAATATAGGGAGCTCCTTGGACATTCGAATTTCTTGTAATAGAATAATATTGAAGTAGAACTCTACTCCAAGTATTACGTCAATCCTGGTTGTTTGATAAAAGTGGGGATCTGCTACTACATATTTTTTGAAATTGGCCATGATGTAATGTCGATGTTAGTGCTTGGTTGCGGTGCCACTATATTTGGTAACACAAAATCTTCTAGACGCGTTCATCGACTGAAGTTCCACGTTGACTCCGTGGTTTGAGGTTCTTTATCTTCCGCCAACGTCTTTAATACAGAGAGATGCTTGAATGAGTTCGATTCCCAAGCTCTGCACTAGTCGTTCTGACACAACATTAATCTGTGAGCCGGAATCCAGAATTGCCTTAAACTCATAGCATCTTCCTTTATTGGCCTTGATAGCAACCCGTGAGGTTGCTAAGAGTACGTATGATTTGGCTCTATTTTTTTACTTGTGGCCTTGTGGAAAAATGCGAAATTGTATTGTGTTTTTGTTGACACTTTCTGCACGTCCTATTTGTGCACCTTTTTGCCTGATGATCATCCTTAAAGCAATTCAAACACATTTTGTTTCTAGAAACCCATTTCTGTCTTTCGAGCACTGTCATTGCCAAGAATTGTTTGCAGTAATATAGGGGGTGATCACCGTTGCACATTTGACATCTACGTTTCGTTGTGTGTTGTCTGCTTCTAAGGATTCGAAGCGGCTCCTCAAACATTCCCTTTGGTACCCACAATCCACTGCCACTCTACACTTACTCTTCGTTAGGATGTGGATTAAGGGTGGATCCAATTCTTTCGGGTTTAATCCAAGACTCTCCAGTGTCAATAACGATTCGTGAAGACTGTCATGAATGTTCTTCACTGATCTGCTATCGCCAGACATGTTGCGCAGGTTTAATGTTAATATCTTGTTGTTTATCTATTTTGGAGTGTTCTCCAAGCAATGTCGTAATTCGCCTCAGATAACTCATGTTGCCTTATGAGCTTCTCGTCTTTCCCACGATGGTCTTGAGATACCACATTTTTGCACTTGTGGCAAGGCAAACGTTTACAACTTCTAATAATCCCCATTGAATTGAGGGATTGTAATTTTTGGCAGATTAACATGAGTTGCCAAGTTCCAGCCTGATCTCTGTCTTCCGTCTCTTCCTCTAAGAGAATATATGCTGACGCATCGTACCCCGCCAACGTTAGATCATCAAAATTCTCGAACGTATTGAAATGGATATCTTCCACTTGCCTCCACTATCTGACAGGGAGCAGCTTGACTTGAACTATCCCTTATTAAAGTTGGAATTGACTGCATTTGAGCACTCTGAGGTCTCACTAATGCAGCCACACTGCTGGTTGACGTAGACTGGCTGGATTGTTTTTTCACCCCCTTCCTTGTTGCGAGTAGCGGTTTCTGAGACATTTGTTCCTTGCCCTTTTTGATGTCTGCCTTGGTGTTGTCGCTCTGTACTCTGTTCCAATGACTTGGTAGTCGTCACTTATGATATGGGGATGTGACCTTACCGCAAGATCCGCTCGAATTTTGTTTTCATTGCGATCGATATGCGCCGAATGTGCTTCCATCTCCTTCAGCTTTTTGCTGTAGAACTCCACCGTTCTTTTTTCCAATGAAGCCTTTTTTACATTCCCAATTGCCTTCCTCAACTCGGCAATTTCTGGTTGTTGTTGCTCTATTATTGCAGCTAGGACCATATTGAATATATGATATGATGGTTACCTTCCTCACAACCATTAAACATTGAATGTAACAGATGATTTTGGCTCTTGAATTTCTTTGCTTTTTTTGTGGAAGTAGTTTCTTCCTTTCACCAAATTCTTTACCACTGGTGGGGAAATTTGAAATTTATCAGTGAATCTGATTCTTATCAGAATAACGTCGGGGTTACCAAAAATGTTTTTTGTCATAGAAGTTATTTTTAAAATAACTTCTGGGGAGAATATCCAGACAAAAGACAAGGGAACTAATGAGGATTGGTAACTCTTTCCGAAACCAAGGTATTCCCTGCCATATCCCTTGGTGAACATTACCATCGTTCTCAACTAATAAACAAACGTTGTTTTTATAAAAAACAACAATAAAGCCATACCATTTTGCAACAACAAAATACTATGGTATCCCGAACAAACAAGCCAACACTGTTCTGTTTATTAATATAAATAAAAGTAGATATACACAACACTTGAATTGTGTAATCTTGGAATGCTTACAATTTCTTGCAATCTGCAAAGAATATTTCTTTTTGCTTGCTATTTATACATTTCATAAAAACTAGCATTAAATATAAAGCAATAAATAACTTCATCCAATAACCCATGCGATTAGGCAAACAATAATTAAATGGGTCAGTTATATGCTGACATAGAACAAAATTATAAATAATAACAAACTTAAAAAAATTATATGTAAAAAATATGTTCTTTTGTACGTTGGTGTGACTATAAGACACAATACTATCCTAACTCATTTTAGTGATGTGCATAGATCAGTAATGATGTATCTGTTGCTTTCTACAAATTGCCGTGACTTGCTCTTGATCAAAATGATTTGTACGATTCTATATCGTCCTTTGTTTTTTCTCTAATGAACTCGAATAATGTCAACGAGCAGTGGGTATGTTTATTTTCATGTTTCAATCTGTTAATTTCTATGTTTCCGGTTAAAAGAAGGTAATTTCTGTTAGGAAGCGTTTGTTCATGCCTTCGTCCTGCCATTGTTTTTTTTATTTTTTAGAGGTGTTTTTCGGCACAAGTTTGAGTAATATGCATCTAATTTAACTGGCAGTCAACCAGATTGTTTGCCTTGTGTATAGGTTCAATATCCGTGCTCATATTACAACGTTTGTTATTAAATTCTTTGATTGCTCTATTAGATCATTTGTAGATAGTCGTCTGCTGCTTACCTTTTTTAAAGTTATTAAGAATCAGTGTCCTTTATTTTTGGTCATGAAATATTTTTTTGCCCACTTTACCAGGCGCAATCGGCTGCAAATTCCTATGGCCCGCCATCTTTTGAATTAATAAAAGTTTTCAGTTTTACACCAAGCACTTTCTTTAAAAGACTTTTTCGTCGTTTTAGTTCAAAGATACTTGGCTTCAGAGAAAAGGCTTAACGTGACTCCATCCGGGAGTGTGTGCCCCCTTCCTTGTGAAGAGAACGAGCTCTGTTTCAGCCCCTTTCCTATCTTGATAATTTCACAGGTATCTTGATATTGATTTCCTGACGGAACACTCCCCCATGCTTGAGTTGATGATTCTACTGTTGAGCATAACATTTATCCATTCTGTAAGGAGTAGTGTTATACCGAGGTTTATGAGAGAATTATGAATTGCGTAATGTGTGACATTGTTTAAACTCATCGATGTCGAGTAAGGCTGCCAACGTGAAACATAAGCTATTCAGGTTCTCTCGATATAACCCACGACGTTGTGTTACCCTGTCTCAACGGATTTGCCTTTCATGTAGGCGTGTTGGGCACTGCTTATCCAATTTGTAGGTATTAGACATTTAATCGCAACATCTATTATTTTTTCTACAAAATTTGGTAAAAAAGATGAAGGACTAATAAGCCTATAGTCCTCTGGAAGTGAATGACTTGGTTGTGCTGCTATTTGGGCGTAGAACACAATGGTGTGAGATGTAGTAATGGTTTCCACGCACCTTTCTTGAATGTATTTTCGTCATGTGCCCCAGATCCTCATAATTCTTCATACATGTAGCATACTGCTCGCGAAGACTTTTATCCTTAGTAAGCGACGCTTCAACGCATTGAACGCAAATTTAAGGTTTCGGATATCTTCTTAGAAACAACTGAAAACGGTAATCGCACCACAAAACGACCATTCTCATTGAATGTTGTACTTTGGTTGAAGTGGTTTTCACATTGTCCTTCAGCTATTGTCAACTTTTGATCTTCACAAACTTAGTCTTGTTCCCTTGTCGCAGCTCCTGATTCTGCCTG